TGGGAGGGTGGGGAGGCCCTGGCACAGGTTGCCCAGAGAAGCTGTGGCTGCCCCTGGATCCCTGGAAGTGTCCAAGGAGCAGGGTCAGGATCAGGGTTACAGCAGGAAGGGGATCTGTGCTACAGCTCTGGAGATCTCAGTTCTCTCATCAGCGGGGGGAAGTTTGCATGGTGTGGAGGTCTGGAAGATTCCCAGGACTGAGGCCAAGCCCCTTGTTATCCAACAAAATGGGGTGGGAATGTGCAGCAACACAAGCCATGGGTGGTGTGTCTTGGGAACACTTTACCTGGGCACAACAGCTTTCCCTGTGAGTCCTTCTGCAGCCACCAATCCATTCTGGATTTTGGGCTCACCCTGCTTCTTCCCTGCCTCCCATAACCGGTGATGAATTGTTTCTGTCCTGCCAGTTCCCAGAGTATTTGGGAATAAAAGAGGGCAGTGCTGGATCAGGGCCATTCCCTCATCTCCAACAGCAGCGACAGTAACAGCTCTTGAGAGACAAAGAGCCCACTTAGGCTGTGCTGGATGGCTTTTCCAACATTCCCTGCAGTGGATTTTATGGCAACAACAACTACTGGAAAGACAAGGCTGAGGCTGTGAAGAGGGAGGAGTGGGGTGGGAGCCAGGCTGAGCTCACCACTGTGCAGGACTGATAAGCTGGAGCTGAGCACAGAACTCCAGCTCAGCTCCACTCCCCCATGTCAGAGACACCCCCCTGGTGAAGTCACGAGGTATTTTTGTCCCCTGAGGTGCCCCAAGGCCCAGCCTGGGTGTTTTCCTTTCAGACAGATGAATATCCCCCGCAATTTTACCCTTGTCATCCAAGGCGCTGGAGACACAGAGCTCTTCCAGTTTCCTCACCCCCCTTTGCGTGGCCTTCAGCCCAAATTCCTTAGGACTAAGCCATGGCCACGCTGGTTTCCCATGTGAAGGACTTACATTTCTGTAGCCACACCACATTTTAATTTGCTTTCTCAGCAAAATTCTTTATATGTCACAGGGAGTGGGATTGGGCTCACGGAGTGTCCCTGCACCTAAACAGGACACCCAGGGCTGCTTTGAGCCCCTGCCTGTGTTTAATCAGAGGGATCCCATCCTGGGCTGCTCCTACTGTAGATCCAGACAACTAGTCCAGGCATCAATGCAGACATTTGGATTTAGGAAAGACCAATCCTGTGAGTCTCAGTTTTATGACTCTGACGTGGAGAAGGAAAGCTGCAGGTCAGAGGTGTTAATTGTCACCTTGCACTGATGAAACGGGGGCAGGGAGGGAAGCAACAGGAATAACAGGTTTAAAATATGTCAGATGGGAATTAAAGGGTGAAAGGAGTGGGATGTGTTACCCTAAAGAGCCGAAAGGAGGGAATTTGAAGGGACAGGACATGACAATCCTCACTTCATGGAAGATCAGGGTAAAGACAGCGACGAGCTGTGGGTTTGGGTGAGCTCAGGACCAGCAGAGCTCTGCCATGTGCAGGCATGGGAATAGTCCTGGAGCTCCCTGGGAATGCCAGGGGACACTGAGAGGTCACCACTCTGAAATCCCACAGCCCAATAAATCCTCTTTGATCTCCCCTGAGGAAGTTTTGCAGCGCCAGGTTGGGAAGAAGAACTTTGAAGACCTGCCAAAACATTCCAAGAGCCCCCAGATGTGGTTCTAGGTGAGAAAAGCAAGGTGTGTAAGAACTTGGAATGTTTCCTACTCTGCTTCCTGGTGATGGCAACAGGAACTGTGCAAACCACCTGTGTAAGACAACGGAAAAGGAGGAGGAATCCATAAAAGTGTGCAGATTTCTAAGAAAACGGAGCTACTCCTTGGCCAGTTCCCAAAGGACAAGCTATAATTATCAGGTACTCCCTCAAACACTGCATCTATTTTCGGGAAGGGCTTCCTGGATAAAGTGTCTCAGGAGCCAAAACAACAGGTGACAGAAGGAGGTCCCTCGGCTCTCAAGGGCACCAGCTCAGGCCGTGTCATGTGAGAGGAGCTGAAAAGCTCAGGGGTTACTCCTGGAATGAGACAAAGAGCCTCGTGCTTAGAAAGCTCCAGGATATCCCAGCCTGTTCCCCTGGGCCTTCGCTGTCCCAGGGGCTTGACAAAACCTGCTGACAACCCCACCAAACTCTAGGAAAAAAAAAGAGTAAACTTAATTATTGTAGCTAATTGTTCAACCAGTACAACTTGAATTCAGACATTGGGGTTGCAACTCCTGGTTTAACATCTCAGGATGCTCAGAGAACTCTCCTCCCGGGCTGGTTGTTTCCATACTTCACACAACAGGCCATTCCTATAAAATGAGGTGGGAAAAGCACCCCCAGGAGTTGTGTGACCTGCTGGAATCACCCTGAGGGAGAAGATTTTCTGGAGTTAAATGTAATTTTTAGCCTGTACTAAGCAGCTATTAATAATACTAAATAATACTAAATATAATACTGAATAATACTAAATATAATAATAAATAATACTAAATATAATACTAAATAGTACTAATTATTTATAATACTAAATATAATACTAAATAATACCAAATATAATACTAAATAATACTAAATATAATACTGAATAATACCAATTTTTATAATACTAAATAATACGAAATAATACTAAATATTTATAATACTAAATAATACTAAATATAATACTAAATAATGCTAAATATTTATAATACTGTATATAAAATACTAAAACTAAACTAACCAACCAACCAAACTAACTAATACTAACTAAAACACTAAACAGTATTTCTGTTTCCTTCAAGGATTCCTCTGCTCTGGTCTCCCTGGCAATATTTCCTTTTAGACTGTAGGAGCACTTGGCCAATCCTTGCAATTCCAGCTATGAAAAATATTCCAACATCCAGCAGTAAATGCAGGTGAACTTTTAAACATTTAGGTCAAGAATTTCCCCCAAAGAGCAAAGTGGTCCCTTCCTGGTGTGTGATCGTGGCCATTCCAAGGAATCTGCTGTTGCATTAAATATTTTCCTCATTTTTCCTTAAAAATTTCTCTCTTTTAGTGCCAGTTTCAGCCAGAAGTGCTGACACTAAGCCAGGCTTTTGCATCAAGAGGATTTCACACTTAGTTTACTTCAGCTTAGTCGTGAATATATCAGCCCTTAACAGTGAATTAAAAAATTCCCTTTGATTGTTTCTCCTCAAGTCACGTAGCAATAACCTATGTGGAACACTTCAGACTTTAAGGCTTTTATTTTAAAATAATTAAATATTTTTTTAAGCAAAATTATGTGCAGCCTAAAGCAAAAAAAAAAAAAATCAAGGGAAAAAGGAATTTTCTTCCCAGGATTCTCTTGTGGTCTGAGGTTGTCGGGGTGGGAAGGCCCTGTAAGATTCCTCCAAGGAGACTCCTGAATTCTCTGAGTATCTCCAGAAAATTACTGGATAATTATATAGTAAATGTCATATTTACTAATATATAGTAATGTAATATATATATTAAATATATAGTGCAAAACACACAAGGATGTAACAAAACCATCCCAGAGCCTGGAATAGAAGACATTGGTACTTGCACAGCAACTGTTCCTGTAAGTCCTCATATTTCACTCCTTTTGATCCTTTGTGTGACAATTACAAGAGCAAAACACAGGAAAAAAACACCCAACTTGTGCCTTTTTAAAAAATATACAGAAATCTTGGAAGAGAGAGGATTATAAAACACAGTAAAATTGGATGGGTTTTTTTTTTTGTTCCTGGAGGACACCTGAGATGGCAACCGGGAACCAGGATGGTGAAAAAAGCAAATGAGAAAGGAGTTAACCCACTGAAAACTTCATTTTATTAACTTTGCTGGCACTATTTAGTGCCAACATTTAATATGCCTTTTGGAGGGAAGATTTTCTTCAAAAATTCTCTTTGTTCTGGAGATACCTTTTATGAGGAAAAGAGTCCCTGGATTTGGGAAGGAACAGCCAGGGCAGCTGGGACAAAAGGATCCCTGTCCCTTCCCAAGCCTTTCTTCTGTGTCGTAAAGATCCACTGTGCTTTTTTTTTTAATAGGTGAAAATAGCAAGAATAGGTGAAAATAAAAATAATAGGTGAAAATAACAATAATAGGTGAAAATAATAATAATAGGTGAAATTAATAAGGAGATACCAGGCAATAAGAAACACTGGCTGGAGGAAAGGGGAAAGATGGGAAGCTGCTCACATCCAGCTCGATTCCTAACACGGTGAATATTATCTTTTATTAAACCTTAAATATACAGATATTATCTCCAGCACCCACATCCCATAATAGTCCTGTGGCTCTCCCCACCCACAAACACCCAGAGCAACATCCCCTGTGTTTTACCAGCGGGGTTTGGGTGCAACTTCCTGCAGGAAACGTGGGCCAACAGCGACAGCACAGCACAGGGAGCCCCAAAAATGCCAAGATGTGCCTCCCTCCCTGGGCAGGACAGCCCGGAATTCCCATGGAACATCTCCAGGCTGCAGAGCCCCCTCACCAAATCCTTGGAGGGTTTGAGCAGAGCAACCTTTATTCATCATAAGCTCAGCTTGAGTCCTGCACCCCAGCAGGGGGAAAAGCCTGACACAGAATCAAACTTCCAGGCTGGGAGAAACCAGGAATAGCTGTGGAAGGGTCATCCCACAGCAGAGACTCCCTGGAAAGGCACATCCACGGGAGCCAAAGGCTCTCCCTCAGGAGCCACAGCAAAACCTGGGGCACTTTTAAGCAAATCCAGCCTTTGCAAATCCAGACTTTTCTTTAGAGGCACCTCTTGGTTTTTATTAACCCCCAGGGAGCCGGAATTACGTGCAAAATTCAGCTGGATTGAGGAGAGAAGAGGAAAAAGGGGGGAAAAAAGAAGCATTTCATTTTCCAATTTGGGATGATTGGGAGGGTTTTCTCATCTGCTGTCAGAGAAATGAGTGGTGACTTTTCATATCCACCAGAGAGCTCTTGACTGCTCACCAGCTGGGTGTCCTCAATTCCATCCTGCTGGAATCATGGCATGTAGAATAATAATAATAATAATAATAATAATAATAATAATAATAATAATAATAATAATAATAATAATAATAATAATAATAATAATAATAAATTAATAATAATAATAATAATTCACTCTTTATTTCAGTACTTTTGGGGCACTAAAACTTTGGAGTCTGGAAATCACTGTAGCTCCAGTTCCCCACAGATGTAAAAACGGCCTTGCTCACTTGTAACCATCACTAACCAAAGTCAAGCAATTCCTATTTCACTGCTTGGAAATTCTTGTGGTACATATGTGGAATAATTTGGTTTTTTAGTTAATTTTTTAAACATCTAGCTGGAGATGCTGAACACAGAGGTGGCAAGAGCTCTCTTGCTTTACAAAGCTGATACTTGGAGGAAATAGTTACGAGCTGCTGTGACCAGAGACTTCCTGGGGGGTGGTGGGGAGGCAAGAGCAGAGTCAATGCTGAGCAAGAGACGTGGGTGCAGGACACAGAGCAAACCACAGCTCTGAGTCACCACAACACCCCAACTGCAGGTTCCTTGGCCAGGAAACAGGGGCCCACCCTGGGGGTGTCCGTCCTGAGCACAGGGGGGACGGTTGGACTTCGGGAGCTTTTCCAACCTGAACGATCCTGTGATTATTTTCTTGACGTGTGGATGGAACAAACGCAGTGGGGTTTGCAGTGGCCCATGTGACAGGGGTTGGCCAATGCCCCCAACTGTGGTTTTACCTGGTCAAAACCTCCTCCCAGAGGGAGCATTTCAGGCTGGGGAAGCAGCCGTGGGTGGATCACATTACAACTGACTGGTGTGTTACCTGTGACATCAAGTTACCTGGAGGTCAGAGAGGGTTCTGCTCCTGCTCCTGCACTCAAGTCAGCCAGGAATGGCCTGGGAGCCAACTGGCTGCTCCACCAGGTCCACACCATGGATGTTCACCCCCAGTTGGTGTCTCAAACAGCTGAGATGCTGCTGTGGTACTTCCTGTGCAGGCTCAGTGCCTCGGGTGTCCTTGAGAACGGGCACATTTCCCCTCACAGCAGCTCTAGCCTGTCGCAGATTCTGTTTTCCCACCTCCTTCTCCAAGACTCCAGCCCTTTTGCATTCCCTCCCATCTCTCCACAGGCCACATCAGTTCAGGACACATCCTTTCCCCTCCCTGTCACTCTCCTGCACTTTTCCAGTGGGTGGAAG